TACTAAGACTTCCTATTTCTAGCATCCCCTTCCCTGAAGGTGGCATTTTAATGCCACCCCCAATGAAAATACTATCTGAACTGCACCATATTAATGCTGATGGGAACCTAAGTTATTCTGTTAGCACATGATGGTCAGTATACATGTAATAATGCTAAAAGCTCTTATTTACATAGCATCTTATGGTTTATTTAGCACTTTCTTCATAATAACCCTATGAGGCACATAGTACACAAGTATTATTCACAATTTAGAGATAAGGTATAATAATTGCAAAGGGGTTAAGTGACTTGCCCACAGTCACAGTGCCAGTAAGTAGCATACTGGAGACTAAAAATCAGAGCTTGTGACCTCACCTACTACATCATGTTGCTTCTGCACTTTGTTACACAAAACAGCAAGTATTGACCCCCTAGTTCTGTAATCTTACAAGGCAGATTCCATAATAGAGAATATTATGATTAATTCATTAGTTATGAGTGGAAAAAGAGTGGAAGATGTAATAAGATGGTATCAAGGTATATGTATGACAGCTGGTGGACAGGTGGACAGGTACCTTGAAGCTCCATGGGACCAAGTCACTGCAGACGTTAACACAACACTCAAAGAGGCAGCCTAAACAACTAGACTGCTGAGTGAGAAAGGAGAGAAAAGAAAGAATAAGGAGAAATCGATTCAACAAGAACATGCAATATACACATGTACATCAGAAAAGAAGAAACATACAACAATCACTGTAAAGGATGAATTATGCAGCAAGCCAGAGAAACTATAGTCTTTGCAATTTAAAACATAAGTTAGTAATAAGATGGGGAAAATCCTTTTTTGTTGTTGTTACTGCCTCAATTTTCTTTTTCTCCAGGAAAATATGAAGCTTAAATCCATATACATAGTAGCACATGTGAACTTGTCTCAACTCCAATAACTCTTATGAAGATGCTATCTGATATGTTTTAGTTAAGATCATGAAACTTGTGGGACCTAGAAAAAAAGTACTAATCCTTTCTTTCTGAGGTTGTCTATTATGGGTTATCACTGTTTTTTAGCTTAGTTTCTCTATAATCTCATTAACTACAATGCCCCAATAGCACTAGCTTGATCTGTGTGATCCCAACAAATCCTCAATGGAATTATTTGTTCAATGAGCTAGATTCCTTCTCCCAGATCTTTTAATATTTCATGAATACTAGGGATACTTTCCCACATTTTTTCCTTTTTCATATTATTAGTGAAAAAGCATAGTTATCTCATTTTTTAATGTAATCAAATAGAATTTGCATCAGATCAGGAAAGAAAATGAAAAGAGAAATCAATGAAATGTCAGTTCCTGGTGTAATCAACACATTTTCTCTTCTTCACTTATGGTTTTTTGATAACATTTAAGCAATACTTAATTTCACCATTGGAGGAGGGGTACTATTTCCATTGAAACAGATGACACTTTTTTTTAAAACTGAGTAAGTGGTCTCTGAGATGTGCTGGGGATGAAAAATTAATCACCCACAGCCAATCTAGTCATGATGCAGAAGAAATTAAAGTGGTATTTTGAAAAAATCAAACACACCGATCTTTCCCATTCCCCTCCCCCGTAAGCTCAAACTTCAGTGAAAAACATTTAAAGTCTGTAGCAGGTTAAAAGGCTTATGGGGCAATTTTGCTAATGGGTAAAATCCTACTATGCCTTAAGATAGGAGTGACAGTTAACAGTGCTCCATTAATCAGTATTATTCAAAGCTGTCAGTTTCCCATCTGCCTATCTATCTGCTTTGTATTAAATTACAGTTTGAGTGACACATTAGTAAAAAGGTATTTCAATTTTTAAAGTATTTATTTTGCAGTAAATTGTTTTAAATTTATACTGAGGTTCTGAAAGGAAATTAATTTTAATATTATAAAATATATTTAAAATTACAACAATTTTATTTTTGCCAACATACCAATGAAAAAAATCTGAAAAATAAAATAATATTCTTGAACTTTTAATAGCATTACTTAAGACAAGTGTTTAGTTGATCAGAGTAGTAGGCAGCAGTTTGGCTTAAGTAACATATGGACAATTTAAGAAATATAACAAAATGCATAGACTAATGCATAAAAGGACAGTTTTTCTACTTTTTCTTTTTACTAAAAAATTGACTTGATAAAATCATTCATGTAATAATTTCAAAGATATTTTTAATATAATCATGTTTCACAAATCTTTATCACATTATCTATCACAATATTGCCTCTTGAATTTTAATAATTTTCCATTCTAAGTAAATAAAAATATTCTAACATGCTAAACATTACTCAAAAAAAGTAGGAAGATAGAAAACATAATTAGTCAGTTTCACGGTTAAAGATACACAAAAATGACAAAAAATAGCACAGAAAGTAACTGAGAAACCCTTAAAGACTTCAGTGGGGTGACTAGATGGCTGAGTAGCAGGTACTGGAATGAGAAGGAAAGAGGCAGTTTAACTTAAGAACACTTTTCCCATGGGACTTTTTGATCATCTAATAGATCAGATTATAGGAGCCAGAACCAGAAGGGAATTCAGATACAATGGAAAGAGCCCTACCTTTGGAATCAGAGAAGCTGGATTCAAATTATGCTTCTCTCTCTTACTACAATGTGACTCTGTATAAATATCCTAAACTTTCTGGGCCTCATTTTACTCATCTGTAAAAAGAGGTTGCTGGACTAGATAACCTCTGTAAGGTCTCTTCCAAGTCTAAATCTAAGATCAGAAATGATCTGTTTCCAATCTCTTTGCTTGAAAGCTTATTAAACTAAAATTCAGAGAGCAGCATGGCTTGTCCAAAGTCACTTACCTAGTAAAATTCAAAGCAAAAATTAGATCCTAGGACTTTTTGTTCTAACTCTAGAGATCTACTACACATCACAAAACCCTCATTATTTAACAGATGAAGAAACTGAAGCACTGGGGAGATTAAGCAATCTATTCAAAGTCACCGAGTTAGTTAGAGGGAAAAGTTGGAGCCTAGAATTCAGCTCTTTCAATTTCCAGTCCAATTGTTCTTTCCACTATTCCATGAAGCTCTATGTTCCTATGGAATAGCCATTAATGTAGAAACATCTAGGATCAACAGTGACATGAGCATATGATATAGTGGTTTTGATATATAAAGATAATACTAGCATCTCTGACTGCAGAAGCACATGGACTCTATTCCTCTAGTGGTGATGGATTTGTATGTTTCCATCCACCAATTTTTCTTATGATAGCTCACTATTAAGAATGAACAGTTGAGGGTTTAAGGGATCTATTCTGTGGACATAGAAGAGAGAAAAGCTAACTGACCCAGGAAGAGCCCTTCATCTCCCACTGGTGAAGTGGCCCTCTCCTCCCATTGCTGCACTCCCCCAGAACTTCCAATTTGAGGAAGGGTTGAGATCAGCCATCCCTTAGTCTTCTCCTGGTTCCACTTCTGACTATTTGAACTTTGCCACCAAGTTTCCTTTTCCATCATCCTCCAACTTTCAACTCCTTTTCCTGCATTACCTTCCCTGATTAGAAACTAAGTTCCTTGAGGGATAGGATTTCTTTTTTGCTTGTATTTATATTCCCAGAACAAAGCTTATTGCCTCTACATAGTAAACAATAAATGCTTATTGACTTCTTAACAGGACCCTTGTAGCAATTTAATCCACTAGCTTGATCCTATCAGTGAATGTGCAATTATCCTAAACTTTTGAAATTATGTTCCTCTTTACCATTAGATTGAGTTTATTTGTAAAATGTAGGCAGTTTTTCTACGATGGTGCCATCGGTGTCCAGTGAACCATGAAGTTGGAGTGGAAACCAACAGGACTGAATCCCACGGTTTTCCAATATTGGGAGAGATGAACACAGCTCTACAAATTAAACCAGCCTGTTTCCCATAATATTTGTACTAGGTTGTGGTCTATGAAATCTTAATATATGATGTAACCAAACTAAAGCTATTGGTTATTATTGTACCCAATTCATTTACAAAATATCAAGATCAAAGAAAATTCTTCAAGGAAAGTGAAGCATCAGCAACATAAAGCTCTAATAAAAACTGAACATTTAACAATAGTATTCAAAAACAAGTTACTAGTAAACATATTTAACTCTTTAACTTTTAATTATTTGGGTGTGAAATTATTACATTTCTGACATTAATAGACTCTTACCCCAAATACCTTTATATTTATGTCTATAGCAAAATCACTTTGGTCACAGTTCCCTTAAAGCCTAACACAGATTTTTAACTGTAATTAAAACCACAGAAAACTAATCAAACTCTTGTTTGGGTAATTAGTGGGTTATTCAATACTACTTTAATATAAAATTGAATAAGGCAATATCTCCACAAACCTTCATACCTTTATTCATTCTAGTTTTAAAAATAAACTTATTTTTACTTACCTTATAAGTAAATAAGTATGATTACCCCAAGGATATTATCAGAGAATAGAAACTACAAAGAAAGCAAAACCAAAACCTTAAATAACATCAGACTACACTGTTAGTCTATGCCATAGACTAGTCTAATATTTATTTATTTATTTTTATTATTATTATTTTTAGGCAATGGGGGTTAAATGACTTGCCCAGGGTCACACAGCTAGCAAGTGTCAAGTGTTTGGTCTGAGCCCTGATTTGAACTCAGGTCCTCCTGACTTCAGGGCTGGTGCTTTATCCACTGCGCCACCTAGCTGCCCCTAATATTTATTCTTAATCAATATAAAGTACATGGACTATTTAGAATCACAAGATTTAAATGTGGAAAGGATGTTAGACAACCATCATTTTGCAGGTGGGAAAAATGAAGGCACAAAGATGGGAAATAATTTGCTTAGGTCAGACTTAGTAAATTGCAGAGCAAGGATTTGAACCCACATTGTCTTACTTGAAAATCCAGGTCTCTTTTTACTACCTGAGATTGTGTTGAAATAGTTCCAAGTGTACAGTCAAATTTAAGATCAGATTATGTCCTTTAGATATTCACTTGGTTTATGACTTTACCTTCTGATCACTTTCTTCATCTTCATCTTTATAGGTATCACAAGTCGAACTGGATTTAGAGAAAGTTGGTCCCTGAGAGTAGTACTGAGAGCTTCGATAACCATCTCTCCTCAGTTTATCACATTCTGTATCAGGCAGAGAGAACAGGAAGAAGGGGAAAATGTTATTTTTAAAAAATTTTTTTGTTTGTTTATTCATATTCCACTTACATTTTTCTAATCATACTTTCAAAATCAGAATAAGATATATTAATATCACTTTCAATTTTTATTTGAAAGCATAGAACATTTAAATCCAAAATTCTATATAAAACTTTATGCAATTCTTAAGTTCCTGCTATTTCCAATTATCTTGATTTCATGTAAATTTCAAAGTTAATTTTAATACTATATGTCAATTCAATCTGCATAGAGAGCAACATATAAAAGCACTTCTGTTGGTTCTACAAGAGAAAGGGATGGAGGATTGGTTGTGTTGCAATAGGAATTTACTTATTGCTGAGGATTTCTATACATCTGGGAATAAGGGGAAGAGGTATGATGTTATAAGGATCAGGTTGGGGGAATAATATAACTTGAGTTTTTAGGAATTCTTAAATTCTTTTCTATTATTCATGGTGAAACATATTTTAAGACTATAAATGGGGAAAGGCAATTTGGCTATAATAGCTGTCATATATTATGAACTATTCTCCTGAATGGGGGTCCTATGTTGTGAAAACTTCAAGAAGTTTAGTTTTTTTAATTTAAAATGTTTTTTAAAATATAAAAAGACCCTAACAAGTCAAGTTCTTTAAAAACTGCTGTTTAATATTATAAAAGGTGCCATTCCATCCACAAACTACAAACTTCAGAATAGGGATAAGCTCCAAAACAGTGAGTCCTTTATGCAGCATAAGTTTAAGTTTCTATGTCACAATGCCTGTTTTAAATCATAGTGTTTCAAATGAAATGTAATGCTTGAGTTCAAGATTAAATAGTAGTATAGGTTTATGGCAGCTGACCAAATTTTTGACTTATCAGATTTTTGAAATCTTGTAAACTCATCACATTACACAGCCACATATCTTATTCCAACTCTGGGGTAAATCTAGGAATATTTCCTTCTGTCACATTTCAACAGCTCTCTTTGTTTGTAAAAACACATCTTTGTTCATTAGAAACTAAGTGTATTGTCTGCTAGATGTGACATAAGTAAATAATCCAAAATCACTGTGAATAAACAAAGCCACTTTTTCAAGCATTAAACCATTAGACAGTTACTACTACACAAGACAAAACTCAGCAGGGTATCTATGCTGAAAGGATCCAAACATAATAATTAACATATTAAAAAGAAATATCTTTATATCTCTACACCTTTAACATACACTCTTTGATGAGAGCCAATATGGTAAAGTAGAGGGAACACTGGACTTTCATTCTTTATGCCCAAGTTTAAAGTTCTGGTTCTTACAACTTCAAGTAAATCTGTGTGAGACTGAATTCACTTTCTTTCCATTATACCATGAAAGCATAATATATTTAATAATAAAATTAATATCAGTAAGTTTCTCTGAAAGCCCTGCTTCCCATTTTTCTCCATATTGATATATGGCCTAACTTGAACTCTTTCTGGATGACAGAGTGTTTTGATCATGAATGTGCAAATGAGATAAAAAAAAAAAAAGTTCTAGATTCTGCTACGAAAATTTTATAGTTACAATTCACTATTTAAATTATAACTATTACTAAACTTTCCCTAAATTTACTTTTCCTATAAACCAATATAACACAAGATATTTTGCTATCCTCTTCCAATCTTCATTTTTCAAAAGATCTATGTAATGCATCTTGGTCTACAACCACATTTTAGGTTATTTTTTGTTTTAATTGTCTAAAAGGAGCTATAATGAGTCCATCCAGCATAGGAATCTGTTTCTGACAATGGTAAAAAAAAAAGCAATTTTACGGTAAACAGCAGATTTCTTTGACCTTTGCCAGAATGGAAAATGTGCTCTAACAACCCTTTAATAATATAGTTATGGAATTATCATCTTTAAATGTCTCTAATTAAAAACAAAACAAAACAAAACAAAATTCATTCCTGATCTTTTTTAGCTACTATAAGACTTCAAGCTTAGGAATCTCTAGGGTCAGATTACAATGAGTTAGAGACAGTTAAGACCTGCTGACTAATAGTGACATAAGATACTACTTCCAATAGAGCCCTAAAAAAACAAAACAAAACAAAACAAAACCAAGATAAAACAGGAAATAGGATGCGAGCAAAGCTTGAGAATCTAAGTATGGGGATTCAGGGTTAGAAATGAATGTAAAAAATGCTTACGGGTCTAGATAACAGGGTGATCATAACTAAGATTTTTGCATGTAGGGGAAAGAAGGCAAGGGAAGTTCACCTTGTATGTACTACTGGGAAAAGACCATGTAGAATATTGAAAGATTTTTGTACTTCTGAAGATTTGCCTGATGTGAGTGATAAAATGAATTTGATAAGAATCTTTGTCAGGATGTCTTGAATATTACATAAAACAAAGAATCTCTAGATTCAACTTCCCATGAAATTAACTTTTTAACCCTCTCTAGAGAAGAGCGAATTCCAAAAGAACCCACCTCTGATGATTACTACCTTTGGATACGGGAGACACTTCACGTACTTTGGCTTCCGTTTCTTCAACTATAAGATGAGGAAGCTGGACTAGATGGCCTCGGAGGTCTCTTTTAGTTCTACAGTTGTGATTCCATGATAAATACCAACATAAGTAATCTCTTTATTTCAAAGGAAGTAAATATTATGAAAGGAGTCCTTTGAAGTCTTAACTATTCCGTAAGGTCTTGATTGAATTTAGGTATATGCTACTTTTCCCATTCTTATCCTTATCTTTCCTACCCTATTTTCAATCTCATACTGTGAAAAAAAATATTCCCTTTCACAGAATACTATAGCTAAGTCCTACCTCAGTCTTCAAGCTCAGCTCAAATGTTACATCCACCAGAAAGTCTTTCCTAATTACTGACCATTTGTATGACTGACAATAAGCCCCTTAATTTCCCTAAGCCTCAGTTTACTCCAACAACTAACACTGGGGTGATAATCCAAGGTTATTGTGATGAAAATGTTTTGCCAGCTTTAAAGAAATGTGAGTTGTTCAGAAGTAATCTCTCCCTTCTTGCTTCCTACAGTATTTTGAATCATTTATGTAGACTTTATCTTATATTGCGTCTTGTATCATACTTGTTTATGTATATTCATTTTCTCATCTACAAGGATATAAGTTTCTTGAAGGCAGGGAAGCCAATTTATATATATTGGTATAACCTGAAATGCTCTGGACATATAAATCCAATAATTTTTTGCTTGATAGATGAAAGGGTAGGAGAGAAAGGAAGAAAATCAAGCAGAAGTGGCCACATCCAGATAGGTAAAAATCACTAGTTGTGAAAGGGTACACAACTACCCTTCCCAATTCAACATAATACAATCACTTTCCATGCTTGGTTAGTATAAGCTTTTTATTTCTTAGCAAATTATTCTTATCTACTTACTCACACACAGGATCTCTATCTCTGGGCATCAGGACTTTGCTTTTTAATTAGGTAGCACTTAAAACATGCTCAAATACCTGATTTCTAAATAATCTAAGATAGAGTTAAGACTGGGTATGTTTTCCAGATTAAGGTGGCTTTTTAAAAATGTTCACAGAATATCAATTTTATATTCCCTTGAGAATGCAATCAGTAAAAATGCACATACATTACTATCAATTTTGGAACCATCTCAAGTCTTCTTTGGTGTGTTTGGTTTTTTTTTTTTAAATTTATGCTCTCTCAAAAGAAAATATACCACATTGGTTAAAACATTTGGGTGTGTCTTTATGTGTTTTACATACAAAGTTTGTGGCAATGCTTCAATGAGGAGAAGATATTTAGGTTAAATTGATGGTAAGGCAGTTTCTACCCACTCCCTACTCTGTTTAGAAACTGGGTCATCCTATCCCACCTATGTTAGAAACATAGTGGCCTCTCATGGGCCTGATCCCATTACTGCTCCATTTCTCACCTGGGATGGTTTACCCCCCTTTAGTAGCTTGGTGGCTCTCTACTCCTGGGGGCTCAGATTTAATGTGGACATCCAGTGTATTGGTGTTAGATTTAACATGGACATCCAGTAGGCTTTAGTCCTACTGCATCTCAGAACTCTCTGAGCTCAGGCAATCCAAGCAGGATTAGATAAAGGAAGATTCTCTAAGCATATAAAAGACTAAAAACTTCCCCACCACCAGCATCATCCTTAGGTTACTTATCTCACCATTTCTCTCCCATTTCTCACAATTCAAGGGGTTCTCAACTTGGGTTCTATGAACTTGTTTCTTTAATATTTTGATTACCGAATTTCAGTATAATTGATTTCCTTCGTAATCCTATATATTTTAATTTATGCATTTAAAAACATTATTCTGAGAAAGGGTTCATAGGTTTTACCACATTGCCAATGGGTCCATGATATAGCAAAGGTTAAAAAGCTTTGCATTATTATGTACTACAACCTCACTTTCCATTTCACTGTCTCTTCTTTGTCTTTCACTTCTAAAACTTCACGTGTTCCAATCAACACTCTTGTAAAGTGGGCAATGATAGGTATTACAGTAATTGTACAGATGAAAAAGTAGACTCAGAGAGGTTAAATAACTACTAAGTTTATATAAGGCAGCTAGGTGGTGCAGTGGATAGAGTGCCAGACCTAGACTCAGGAAGATTCATCTTCCTGAGTTCATATCTGGCCTCAGACTCTTAGTAGCTGTGTGAACCTGGGTAAGTCACTTTAACCTTCTTTGCCTCAGTTTCCTCATCTGTAAAATGAGCTGGAGAAGAAAATGGCAAATCACTTCAGTATCTTTGTCAAGAAAACCCAAAATGGGATCATGAAGAGCCAGACAGGACTGAAAATGACCGAACAACAAGTTTATACAAGCATTTGTGGCATTTTTATGATTAGCATGTAAGAATCTAGACTCCTATCCTAGGTCACAGTCCATTAAAATATGAAAAACAGCCACATCACAGGCTTTCTTTTTTTTTTTAAGTTTTATTGATGGATTTTGTTTTTATATTACATTTACAAACTA